CTTGGATGGCACTGGGGTGGAGGGTTCCTATCTCTAGCAGACCTTGCACTAACACCAGCCGTGTTTAACACACCTATCTGCTTCAGCAAGTTTTCCTTGGCCGGAGTGCAAAAGAGTAGGTTAGATCCGCAAGCAGGTTATGTCCATTCAGGGTGACAACTGAATCAGCTAGGACAGGGACTTCAGGACAGCCTGAGTGTCAGCCAGTTGCACACATGCTGTCATGACCACCTCTGCTCTACAACTGGGGTTTGCGGGGAGCAAAGCAAGTTATGCACGGAATATCCCCAGATCCCCTGCCCGTGCCTCCTGCAGCCCGCGGGACCTGGCACAGAGACAGCGTGAGCATCACAAGGGAGACCCACGTCACGGCGGTGGCTTTAGCCACGCTTCCCCTCCTAAAGGCAAGTGGCAAGGTTAACATGTCAGGAGGGTGGTTTCAGACCAGCTACACCAGGCAAGGCCCATTGAAATGCTCCGTTCTGGAAGGTGGCCTGGAGTGGTCTGCTGTGGCAGGGTCAGAGCTGCCTGCCAGGCTTCCCGCAGGGGGGTGGGACCAGGGGAGACCACACGAGGTGGAGACACATCTCTACGGGCAGCGGGCAGGGGGAACAGAGCTTTACCTGGCAGCGCAAGGGCCATGTCCAGACCTTCTGGCTGCGTCTGGCCTCTTCCCAGGGGAGGCAGCGGGATGAGGGAGAGCTTCTCTCCAGATCCTCTCTGCAGGAGAGGCTGGGGGGCCGGGGCTTGGCCTCTGACAAGATGCATTGGCCTTTGCAGGAGGGACTTCAAAGCCCCCACAGCTTTCTTCACCTCGGAGGCTGGAGCTATTGAGAAAATCCCTCTCCAGCCTGCCCTATTCCTAGGCCGGTCTAAAAAGAAGTGTTCATACACCTCAGGGACCGAGACAACCAGGGAGCCTTTGACTGGAGCCGAGTCAGGATCCTCACTTTGCAGCTGAGTGTGGTCCATGCTGCTGAACTTCTTTCGCTTCCTCTCTTTACTCTTGACTTTTTTCCTGTTTCCTTCTGGTTCATTGAAAAAATACTCATACAGTTCAGGCCAGGATATTTCCCTTTCTAAGGGTGTTTTCTCCCTCTCCACTGAGTTCCCCATTCCTTCTTCTTCCTCTTGGGAGTCACAGAACAAATAGTCGTACATCTCAGGCCAAGTCACGTCCAGGGAGTCTGCCCTTTCAGAGGCCCTGGCTGCAAAGCAAAGGGGTCTTGGCTCCCTGGGAGTCTCAGCTGCAGTCTGTCCACAAGCTCCCTCAGCAGCAACCCCTCCAGAAGCCACCAGGCTTTTGGGATGGAGAGGCTTCTGTGGTGCCTCCTGGCACACCTCTCCCAAAGGAGCTCCCGCAGCAACAACCCCTTCAGAAGCCACCGGGCTTTTGGGATGGAAAGACTTCTGTGGTGCCTCCTGGCACACCTCTCCCAGAGGAGATCTCTCAGCAGCAACCCCTCCAGAAGTCACCATGCTTTTGGGATGGAAAGACTTCTGTGGTGCCTCCTGGCACGCCTCTCCCGGAGGAGCCAGAGCTCCGCTGGCAGGGATCACCGGCACATTGTCACGTACGCCCAAGCCACCAGCCTGCCCTGGCTTTGAATGCTTGGTGGCCTTCGCCTTCCCCGGGGGCTGTGTCCCCAGCTCTTTCACCTTTTGCTTTGGGGAAGCGCTCGCGGCTGTATCACCCTCATCCGTGCTGGGGACAGATACGAGCCGTTTGCTCTCCCCTGACTCCTCACTCCCCATTTTCACCAGAGCTGGCTTGGCTGCCTTCTCCTTCCCTTTGCTCTTCCGTGAGGACAGTGGTGAGCTCAAAGGTGTCTTCACGGGTGTGCCAGCCCCCTGTGCCGCAGCCCCTGCGGGATCCCTGTCTCCCTGAGCTGCCTCGGAGGCGCTGGCTCCACGTTGCTTGCGGCTCTTCCTCAGCTGTCCTGGCACCTTGGGCCTCACAA